AAATAAAAAGAAGTGTTTTTATATATGGATATCAGAATATGGAAAAACGGAAAAATCATTTTGTTTTACTATTAATTTTTTTTTTAAATTGATAACATGTGTTGAATTCAAATGTATTTAAAAATTTATTCACAATTTTTTCCGAACAAAAATCTTTTAAACTGTTTAACTTAAAATAAAATCTAATGGTATATAAGTACATATAAGCATTGACCGAATTGGATTTTTTTTTTACAATTCGGTCAATGCTTATATGCATAAAACCGAATAAGATTCAGAAATATTGATAAATCTTTTTATATCAGTTTAGTGAAGGTATGTGCATACCACTACGACAATATTTGACCATCTTGCAGTTGATAAGCTTCTGAAGTGTGACTCTTCGGCGATGTTGTGAAAAATATTTTTTTATAATATCTTAAAATTTTCTTTTAATCTCGATTTGGAATTAAATTTTTTTTAATCTAAATAAGAATAATGTTCTTTGAAAAATAAAAACGAACAGTTTGAAATAAATTCATTGCTTTTTCTCTATAGTTGTCAATTACTGATTCTTTTCGTATAACGTACTATCACTTAGGATGTTTTGTGGCATAGTTATAGATTGTTAAGATAGAATGCTTATATTTTGTTTCGGATAATGAAATATTACGAGTATGCATCATAGAAATTAAATATTAACATATGTATTTAACAATATCTTAATATTTGAACAACAAGTACAACGCACAATTTCTAAAAAATATAACACGAAACGTTAAACATAATAAAACCTATTACAATACTCGTATAACAAAGCATTAGAAAAAATTTTAATTGAATGTTTAGTTCTGCAAATGTTCTAAGTTTGTACGTATACATGTTGTTGGAGAGTTTTTATTTAGCGTTACTGTCTTTCTTTCACAGCAGGACTGGTCAACCGGAATTCAAACAGAATACTGAATGAAGATAAAGAAAATCAAAAATTGCATGAATCACAAACATATTTATAAAGGAATTTGAGTAAATGATTAAATATTTCATTATAATCTGCATTTCATAAAAATTAAAAAATTTAAATATTATTAAAATAGCATTAATAATAAACTGGTTGCTTCACTTGCTTAGAATAATGATCCATGTCAACTTTGATTTTAGATGTTGCTATTAGTGACTGATTATGTAAGGCATCATTCAATACGTCCATAGGATGGTTAATAAAACAACAACATTTTGACATAATTTGATTTTATTCATCAACATAGTCTCCTTTTAAGGCGATACAGTCATTCCAGCGCTTCTATAACTTTTCCATATCATGTTTATAGAACGATTTATCTTTTTCTTCAAAATATGCTTCAGCTTCGGTGATGATCTCCTCATCCGGTTCAAATATCTTTCCCTGAAGCATCCTTTTGAAATCTGAGAACAGCAAACAATCGCTAGGGGTTAAATCAGGCGAGTACGGTGGATGGGGCAGCAATTCGAAGTGCAATTCATTCATTTTTACCATCGTTTGCATTGATTTGTGACACGGTACGTTGTCTTGATGAAAGAGAATTTTTTCCTTCTTCATGTGCGCTCGCTTTTCGTCAATTACAGCCTTCAATCGTTCCAATAATGCCACGTAATATTCGCTATTGATCGTTTTAGCTTTCTCAAGATAATCTATGAACAATATACAATGGCTATCTCAAAATACGGAGGCCATAACCTTGCCAGCAGAGGTTTAAGTCTTTGGGCGCTTTGGGCGGCTTTTACCCGCTGATTTTATGGATTTTGTCAGTCGGTTTTGATTTCAATAATCTTTGATAAACGAATTTTTTAACTGGCACATGGATGAAATTCGGGGCTTGAAAGACAGATGGATCGAAGTCGATCTTTCTTGCTGACCGTTGGATTGTTGACCTTTTTCCAATTCAAGACTTTATAAATTTATTAACAAACCACTATTAAAGCGATTTTACAATGTAAATTGTAAGCTTTTTACTGTATAAAAACATTGTGTACAATAAAAGAAAACTAATATTTTCGCTAATCGTTCTAATCCGTCTGTAGAAATCCTTGTTTGTCAAAAGTTTATTGAATCAAAAGCAACTGACAGGGCTGTATCAATGAGAGACCCCATATGCTATTTTTCAGGCAAATGTAAGGGAAACTCGGTTGTTAAGTTGAGGATTTACATAACAGAACAGAGACACCATTTTGATCGGTTGTTTCACATTTTTCTAAGTCATTGAAGAAAAAAATTTGGTATAAAATAACATTGGCAGTACTCTATTTTTCTAAATAACTCTTAAACCAGATCACGTAGCATGATGACTCATACACCAAATTGAAGCTCAGTTGTCATTGTTGTCACCTGTGCTAAAATTGGAGAAAGCTACCATGTTAACGTTCTTTAAAAATGAAAAGTTAAAACTTCAACTTTTTCGAATTTTAAAGTTTGTGATTCCGAAATCTGAACAGATTTCGGAACTCCGCGAATGTCTGTCTTACACATTCGCGGAGTTATACTTAAAATTTCAAAAAAGTCTCCATACAAAAGATTTGTTTACTCATGTGGGTCTATACAATGGCATATACCAGTGCACTTTGTTATAACACTGTATTTTGCTGACTGAGTTAAATAAAAATTTATTTGCATAATATAAACAAAAAAATCTGATGTGGTCAGCACATAACCGACCGCAATGTGTATTGTCTAGTTAGGTGAATGTGTTACAGAATATTATAAAAATGTCTGTTAAATACTTCTTTTCAATTTTTAGGATATTAGTAAGCTCATAGTTAACATACCTAGAAAAATGTAAAAATATCTCTTAGTAGAGTTTCGCTTTGTGCTACCCGAATTCCCTGAAATGCTCCCCAGTTAGTTTCGGTAACAACCAGAGCTCAAAATTCAAATTTCAACAAATTCCATCAATTCGTTCCGTAGATATGGTTAAAAATGTAAAATTGGCCCGCAGATCCAAAAAATTTATATGTTCATTGTTCTAATACGATGAATTCAAACATTAAATTTCAATGAAATCGGTTGATTATTTCTCTTTATATACGCAAAAATGTATATTTGGCCCGTAGCAAACGCCCAGTTGCTAATGCCTGATTTCTTCCAAAAGTTAGGAATTTTCGCGTACGGTCGAGCAAAGCTTATAAATGAAATTTCAAGTAAATCGGTTGAATATTTTCTTCAAAATAGTGAAAAATGTAAAACAGGCCCGCTAAAAAGTGCAGTTCCCGAGGCCTAGTATATTCCAAAAGTTGATCAATCTATGCCATGGTCAAAATAAACTTACATATAAAATTTCATCAAAATCGGTTCAGCCGAACTTGAGATACACGCGTGCACACACAGACCGACAGGTTGCTAAAAATAGTTTATTTATACTTCCCTACCATGGAGAAGTGCATTCCCACCGAAAACTCGATATGCAAAATTTGTTGCCATCACATAACCTACCTATTGTATACACAATACAGTCGGTAAAAATCTGATGCGATCAGCACATAACCGATCGCAATGTATATTATCTAGTTTAGTGAAAGTATTATTAAAGATTATGAGCATGCATTTTGAACACTTTCTTTCAATTTTAAGGAAGTTAACATACATAGAAAACCATAAATTTGGCTCTTAGTAGAATTTCGCTTTGTACCACCCGAATTCCCTCAAAATTTCACTTGTTAGTTTTTGTATAAATCAGAACTCTCTCTGTAAAACATAGTAAAAAATGTAAACTCGGCCACCAGTTTGGGGCCTGAGCCCTTATCTTTCCAAAAAATTTATAAATTCGTTGCCTTAACATTCCGAATTTAAATATTTAATTTCAAAAATTGGTGATATACACAAAAAAATTATATACACAAAAATTAAAAATTGACTCGCAAAAAGATTCAAATCCACTTAAACTTAATTGAAGTGATTTTGGTTAGGCATACCATGTAATTTTTTAAAATATATAACATTGCTACATAATAAATAATATTACACAAAATTAAACTTTAACAGAATTATAAAAGTACAACAACAATGAAAGGAATAAATGTAGGACTTTTAAATTTAGCAAGTTAACTTAATTGAAATTCATTCAACACATTTACAAGAAATAATTTTAGATTATCGTTTTTGTAATAAAATATTTTTGAACTTTATATCATACACACTTGTCAAGTTTCAAATTTTTATTCTGATGTTACTGTAATTCCAAAAGTAGTAATCAAATCATTCAGCCTAGAATTATAATATTTTATAGATATTGTATTTTGCTTACGTGGGAGAGTTACAATTTCAGCATTTAGCAGTGATGCTGAGACATGTTTTTAGTGTTACTCGGAAAGAAGATAATTTAAATAATGTATAAAAACATTAGTAATATAAATTCAAAACAAAGGTTTCTATATATTTTCTGTATAAACCCAAGATACATAAATACAAGCACTAAGAAAAAATTAATCTGAATAGCATTTTGCTAACCTACTAGTAAGAAATTTTGAGATGAAGCAAAATGATTACGTTTCCTCTCTCCATAAAGTAGAGAAAAAATTTATAGATTAAACTTCTAATATCTTAATTATTGCGTTTTCTTTAATTAAATGAGAAAAAGTAAGGAAAAATTTTTCATTTTTCTAGGTATGTTAACGATAAGCTTACTAATGTCCTAAAAATTGGAAACAAGTATTTAACGGACAGTTTTATAATATTCTGTAACACTTTCTTTTAACCGACATTGCGGTCGGTTATGTGCTGACCACATCCGAATTTTTTTATTTTAATTAACTTCAATAGGCTTCTTTATGTTTATTGCTTAACGTACATGCAATATATATATGTTTTTTTTTAATCTTAAACATAATTTGCACAGTTCAAAACTTCTTATAATTATATTCTTATAAATTTAATTAATTAAAAACAGTACTTTAGGTATAAAAATGTTCAATAAAATTCAATAAAATATACAAGTATATTTTAATATTTCTGACAAGTTTTCAAAGCTGTCACTCATTTTTTCAATTCTTACCAATTTGTATTTGTAACATTTAAATTTTCGAAAATATTTTGCAGTTTAATTTCTTCATAATTTTCACCTACCTGAAAGAAAAAATAATAAAAAAAATCATAAGATTTTATTGACTGAAATATAATAAGTATGTTAAAGAAAAAAAAGTTAATTCTGAAAGATATTCAAAGGTAATTAGTTAGAAATAATGTGCTGTTGTTTCAAGTTTTAATTAGTTTTTGTATGAGATTAAAATATAATAATGCTGACAACAAGAATTAATTTGTTTGACACGATTGCGGAAGAATTGAAAGAGCTCTCATAGGATATTTTGTGATTTGTAGGATCATCTACAGTAACGCTATTCCTAGGCCACTTATCAACTTATTCCAATTAGATTAAGAAGATCTTTGTTTTATAGCATATTTCATTCTGCTGTTAATTACGCCATTCAAATTTGGCAAAATTTCTTTAACAAGAACGTGAAAATCCTTCAAACTGCTCAAAAAAAAGCGATTAAAAATTTGTTTGGATGTAACCATAGAACGGCATCTCGCACTATTGACAGAGATAACAAGATCTTGCAAATTAATCACTTGTAGATTCGAGGCTAGCCAAGCAAATATATCTCATATGCAGTGCCAACTTTAATGAGACCAATACTGAACAGTGATGCACATGCCTACAATACTCGAACTTCATAATTCGAATAATTTCATATAAATCCACATTCAATTAGGATACAATTTGTAATAAGACGTTCAATGTCTGTCATAATAAAAGAAATTTTGTTATTTTTAAGTACAACAATTAACAGAAGAATTCCTAAAAAAACAGCAAAAACTAGAAAAAAAAGTCTGATGTAAGCAGGACATAATATGATATATAATAAGTATATATATTGTGTAAACAATAGGTAGGTTATGTGATGGCAACAAATTTTGTATATCGAGTTTTCAGTGGGAACGTACTTCTCCATAGTAGGGAAGTGTAAGTAAACTATTTTTAGCAACCTGTCGGTCCGTCGGCCTGTCGGCCTGTGTGTGCACGCGTGTATCTCAAGTTCTGCTGAACCGATTTTGATGAAATTTTATATGGAAGTTTATTTCCACCATGGCACGGATTGATCAACTTTTGGGATATATCAGGCCTCGGGAACTGCACTTTTTAGCGGGCCTGTTTTACATTTTTCAACATTTTGAAGAAAATATTCAACCGATTTACTAGAAATTTCATATATAAACTTTTTTCGAACGTCCGCAAAAATTCCTAACTTTTGGAAGAAATCAGGCATCAGCAACTGGACGTTTACTACGGGCCAAATATACATTTTTGCGTATATAAAGGGATATAATTGACCGATTTCATTGAAATTTAATACTTGAATTCCTCGTATTAAAACAATGAACATATAAATTTTTTGGAAAGATCAGGGCTCGAAAACTGATTTGCGGGCCGATTTTACATTTTTCACCATATCTACGGAACGAATTGATGGAATTTCTTGAAATTTAATATTTGAGTTCTGGTTAACTGTCGAATATTTCTGGGAATTCGGGTAGCAAAAAGCGAAACGTTTATTCGTTTACTAAACCATATAAATATGCATAACAAAAATTTTTAAAATTTTAAGAACTTTATTTGGATTTGTACTTTTTTTAGATTTATAAAAATTTATACTCGATACGATTTCAAGAAATATTTCAATATTTTAGAAAAACCTTAACGACTGCAAAATTCTTAGGAGAGCCTTTTTATATTCAAAAATATTTTAGATTTTAGAGATATGTATTTCAAAATTTGGTATCGATTTGGTTTGGTGTTGGTATCTGTTGCGGGAAAAGCTACATAATTTCAAAAGTGAAAAGCATCAAAAAATCATAACATCAAAAGTTTCCCAAAATTGGATCCACTGAATTAATGGATACACTTTAAAAAAGCTTTCCATTACTAGTATTGATTTCAAAAAATATGTGCTTGTACGCTTCCTTTTCATATAACATGTTATCTCTTCTTTATATAACAGATGTTTAAATTTTTAAATCAACATTTTTAAAAATCACTCATTTCTTCAAAATCACCGATTTCAAAGAAAATTAAGTGAAATAAATCAATACATAGTTGTAAAGTAATAAATGTCCCTTAAACAACGATTACTAACGATTTATTTGTCATTTTACATATTAGTCTCACTAAAATAATACATTTATGGCATACAGATAGGATAAGAAAAGCATTTACATAAAACCAAATTTAATTGGTAATTATGATCGTTAACAATTTTAATAATCATATTTTCTAATAGTATGATATTTGACATAACTTTTTTATTTAAATAAAATAGTAATAGTATAAATTTTTTGTTGAAAAGCAAGTATAAGAAATCTATTTTCTGTTACTGAGTTTGACATTTAATGAATTTGCTCTCCAGGTAACGTGAAAGAGTCGAAAATAGTCTTACTACAAGTAAGAAAAAACGAAAAACTACCAGTATCGACAATATAACGTATTTGATTTTTCTTCTTTTGGAACTGGAGCTAAGTTTATAAACCCCTTAGGTTTGTTTCTAGTAAATTCGAAGTAGCTTACTTCTAATATTTTAGAAATACATTTAGTTTCGTTTGATATGTGAGATCCAAAGTGTTTTACAGTAAGTTTTTTGTGCTCATCCTGAACCTTTTTACGGGCCAATTTTACATTTTAGAGTGTATAAAAAAAAATTAACCCATTTTCTTGTAATTTAGTATTTAAATTCTTGCTGTTAAAACGATGAATCTATACGTTTTTTGGAAAGATCAGCGCTTGGAAACCAAATTGGGGGTCGATTTTACATTTTTTACTATGTTTTACAGAGAGGATTGATAAAATTTCTTGAAATTTCATATTTGAGTTCTGATTTTTGCAGAAACTAACAGGTAAAATTTTCAGGGAATTCGGTTGGCACAAAGCGAAATTCTACTAAGAGTCAAATTTATATCTTTCTAGGTATGTTAATTAATAGAATGCTAGATTCCTTAAAATTGAAAAGAAGTGTTCAAAATGCACTTTCATAATCTTCTGTAATTCTTTTACTAGACTAGCCTTTATACATTGCGTTCGGTTATGTGCTGACCACATCAGATTTTTTCCCATTTCATATTATGCACTTCATATTTTACCAAGTTATGTAAAAATTGAGAAAATATATACGTATAGTATTCAAAAAAAACTGAATTTAGTTGAAGTAATATAAAACAAGTAAAAACGTTTCAGTCGGTATAAACCGATTGAATTATACCCTGCACCTTTCGTTATTGTGTAGCAATTACTCGAACCTGTGAAGTCATTCTATAGAAACTTCACGGATATGTCTGACCTATAATTGGACATCCGACTGCCAAGTTTCATGAATCTGACTTTATAATTTTTCCAAAATATTTAAAATTAGGTTTTGGAGTTGTATGGCAAGTACCTGAACCTGTCAAACAATTCCATCAAAACTTCACAAATATATCTGATCTATAATCGGACACACAACTGCCAAGTTTCATGAATCTGACTTTATTATTTTTCCAAAAATTTAGAATAAGCTTTTAGACTTGTATGGGACCTACTCGAACCTGTAAAGCAATTCCACCAAAACTTCAGAAATATATCTGACCTATAACTCGACATACAACTGCCAAGTTTCATGAATCTGACTTTATTATTTTTCCAAATATTTAAAATAAGCTTTTGGAGTTGTTTGGCAAGTCCCCGAACCTGTCAAGCAATTCCACTAAAACTTCACAAATATATCTGATCTATAATCGGACACACAACTGCCAAGTTTCATGGATCTGACTTTATTATTTTTCCAAATATTAAGAATAAGCTTTAAGACTAGTATGGGAGCTACTCGAACCTGTCAAGCAATCCCATAAAAACTTTAGAAATATGTCTGACCTATAATTGGACACACGACTGCCAAGTTTCATGAATCTGACTTTATTATTTTTCCAAATTTTTAAAATAAGCTTTTAGACTTGTATGGGAGCTACTCGAACCTGTCAAGCAATTCCACTAAAACTTCAGAAATATATCTGACCTATAACTCGACACAAAACTGCCAAGTTTCATGAATTTGACTTTATTATTTTTCCAAATATTTCAAATTAGCTTCTGGAGTTGTATGGCAGGTAACCGAACCTGTCAAGCAATTCCTCTAAAACTTCGCAAATATATCTGATCTATAATCGGACATCCAACTGCCAAGTTTCATGAATCTGACTTTATTATTTTCCCAAATATTTAAAATTAGCTTCTGGAGTTGTATGGCAGGTAGCCGAATCTGTAAAGCAATTCCTCTAAAACTTCAGAAGTATATTTCACCTATAATTGGACACATGACTGCCACGTTTCATGAATCTGACTTTATTATTTTGCCGAATATAAAAAATTTACTGTTAGAGTTGTATGGCAGCCACCCGAACCGGTGCAGCTATCCCATTATAATTTTTAGAGCATGTGTAGAATATAATTGGACACATGTGTACAAAATTTTATATTTATAGCTTTATTAGTTTTTGAAATATTTAAAATAAACTCTTTGTGTTGTATGGCAGCTACCCGAACCCGTTGTCCGAATTAGTCCAATAACAATAGGGCTCGTCCTTGGCACAAAAGAAAAAAATTGTGAAAGTTTGGTGTCGATTGCATTACTCGTTTTTGAGTTATCGTGCGATCGGACGGACGGACGGACGGACGGACGGACGGACGGACGGACGGACGGACGGACGGACGGACGGACGGACGGACAGACGGACATGTCTAAATCGACGCAGAATTTTACGCTGAGCAAGAATATATATATATGTCCATACCGCAGATGACTCCTTCAAGTAGTTACAAACTCCATACCAAAGTTAATATACCCTTCACGAAGTGCAGGGTATAATAAAGGAAAAGAGAAATAATAATAATGACGTAATTTATAAATAATACAGTTGAATCCGCGTAATTACAACCCGCCTAGGTACAAAAGCCGTTTAGAATGTAAAATATTTTTTCAAAATTTTCAACCGGACAATTGCAAACCTCATAAATGCCATTCTAACTGCAAAGTATA